GGTTCTAATTTAGTTGTCAAGATCAAGGATTAATCCGGCAAAATGGTTCATGAGCTTCTGCATATGCTTCATGGGCTGATTAATTCAGGATCGGGATGTTTTTGTGGATCTCGGCAGCGGAGTGGGTCAGCTAGTAATTCATATGGCTGGTGGTTCGAAGGTGCGGAAAGCCATCGGTGTTGAAATTGCATCGCTGCCGAATCATTATGCGCAAAATCTTTCGATCGAGTTTAAGAAGTATGTTTTTTTCATCTGAGTTGTTTTTTTTATTCCGGTAATTATAAGAACTGAAATTCAAGCTGGCACTCATTAGGCTTGCCGGTACGATCATGCATCTTGCGCTAAACTTGCAATGATCAGATCGTTGAAAGCATGATTGGTTTCTGCGTTAAGTTTAATATGTGGACATATTTTGGCTGTGTTTTGGTCTTTTTTTGCGTACGAGTTGGAGTGGTACTGTTACATCAAGCCGCGTGAACTGCATTGTGCATGATTATTAATTTTTTGCATGAAACCATTAGGTCTGTGAACGGTCTTCTATCGGAAAATGTAAATTTGAAGGAAATCGGAAGAGAGTTACAAAACCCATAAATGCACTCGCTTTTGAAATTGCGATAAAACTGAGTATTTGTCTTGCCTGCGTGCAGGGAATTTCGTCTTCAAGCTGCATTAAAAAACACACATAAATATAGGATGTCCCTGCAAAGTTTCAGCTTCGAGACTTGCCCGATAAGCGAAATAGCCACTTCGCCACAAGTATCTTTAAAATACCCTGAGTTTTGCCCCAAGTACAAAACGAAACTCAATTTAGATATTCAGTTTTCTATATGGACGATAAATATTGATGAAATTTCAGCTATTGCTTCCCGGCTAGTTTTCGAGTTAGCACAGTGCCAGCTGTGAACTTCGTCGTTAATTTACGCTTGGCGAAATTGAGTGCGATAGTTGAATTTAAAGTCTTTAGCTCATACATGCACAAAGGATATCCCTGCAGAGTTTCCATCTCGTCTGGCTCACGGAGTCATTTTCCGCCGAATAAGTTTACACTTCGAGGGCCCACAGGCAAGATCTAGGGGCGCAGAAGCTGTGATTTTAAAACCATCTAGTGGGAATATGTCTCCAAAGTTTCAGCTTCCCAGC